TGGAGCTGGGCGACGATGGCGTACTCGAGAGGCACAGATAGGCTCGCGTACTGACGGGGCCGGGATCTTCCTCAGGCCCTACTGAAAACTCTGTATCTATCTCAGCTGATCTTGACATGTCACTCGACGCTACGTAGTCAATACTGTTGGCAAAGCGTCGTTAAATAACCATCCAAAATGATCTAATCTCATGCTGAATATGCGACTCTTGTGAACGATCTTAAAAATACGAAGCGTCTCGTTGTGCAATTTCCCTTTGACTGTTTTGCCCACCTGCACGTACGACAGCGAATTACGTAAGCAGATTGCGTTTCTTTCAAAACGTATAAAAACATTGAGTAAGTCGGCAATCACGTTATATGGCAGCACAAATGGAAAGTGTAATGAGACAGGGGTCCAGAAAAACTTTTGTGTGCCCAAGGACGGAGACGCGTGCGTCTTTAAACGCGGGTTACACCGCGCAGACAGCCTCGAAGTGTGGGCCCAAGAATTAGCTCTTGGTTCGAGCGGGCGAAGCTCGAGATACGGTCTCTTTTTCCACTTCTGGTTACGTAAGTAGCCTGTTCACTTCAGCCATTCACTTAGTTCCATCAAACGTATTTTCGGCAGGTTCGGGACCAAATCTCGTAGCGCAACATTGCGAACGATTCCGCGGAAGTAATGAGTGACCACGCACTTCGGCAAAACTGTCCCGTGTCCGGGCTGCGGTCAGCAACGGGACCTCCGCTGTGTCGCATTCTACGACGGATCAGGCCGGCAAAACGACCGACTCGATCCGGGGCGTTGCGTCAGACGGAGCTGACGTGATCTGTGTTGTGTCACTCGACGGGACGGTTCGGTGGGTGTCGACGACTTTCTGTTAACCTCAATGCTTGCTGCGTTCCGCTGAGAGCAGGCTCAGCAAACCGAGGCGAAGTGCACACCACAACAAACGAGATATAATTGACTGCTTTAGAAGCTGATGGTCCCTCAGCCAGTCAAGTAGTTCACTGCCTTTCATAGAATCCGGGGGTTCATTATCTCAGCCAGTCAAGTGGTTCACCGCCTTTCATAGAATCCGGGGGTTCATTACCGCCTTCACAACAGCCCGCCAATGGACCCTGTCCTGAGCCAGTTGACTCCAGCCTGCGTCCACGCAACCTATTCATTTCCATCTACGTTCGGGTCTACTACGTTGACTCTTCCGCTGAGGTTTTCCGATTAAATTATGGGTCGGACCATAGGCCGATACGAGACATGAAATGACATGAAGCGATTTGCAGAAGTTGTTCCTGTCGAAACGAGGACAAAATCAGATGCAAACGGGAGACTTCGGCTAGAAGAAAATAGCGAGGAGCGGTGGTGAGGGACCTCGGAGGATTCATAAGCACGAACGCAAACGCAGTAAAAGTGACGTGGACTGCGCTTGCGTTGTCGGAAGAAGGTACTTCACGCTGAATGTGGAGGCGGCGCGTTCCTCGTGAGCGGAAGACCCTAGTCGACATCTTGACCGCCTTCGAAACCCCAAGTCTTTTGCTACAGTTAATCAGTGCTGTTGTACGAAGCGCATGTTTCGTCTTCGTTTTTGCCATCTTCAGTAAGCTAGTTGCACGAAGAGCTTCTTTGCCGTGACGAGCGTGAGGCTCAGACTGAAATTGGTTGCAGATGCAGAACGGACGTCTGGCCCACATCTGCAGCTGTCTCTGTGCGTCTGACAACAGAGCCATCTGCTGCTGAAAATGAAGATGACAATCGAACAGAGTTTTCACTTCCTCGTGGGTCTGATGTTTCGACACGCCGTGCCTCGCATGCATTACTGAGCACAGCCATTTTTGATAATTGTCGGTGCGTGTGGTGGCCTGACCGTCCAGGGGCCAGTGATATTGTAGCAGTGTTGCGGGTGGCAGCGCACTGCCCCTGTCCGCGTCGGGTTCTTGTTACACTTTTGCACTCGCTACATGCCGGTGGAGGGTGAGGCAAGGAAGTATTCGGACATCCATCATGGTGGGATCTGCGAGTAGTGGGCAGCCGACAAGGGGTGGTCCTGATCACGGGCCGTCGGCTTACGAACGTCGGGGTGGACAGATACCGTTGAGGGACGCTGTGACACTCGTCGAGTGGAGTCGAAGCGAAACACTTGAGAGCACGTCCCAAGTCCCTGCGTCGTCGACAGCCATCAGCCAACGCAGCGCGGCTTCCAGCCTTCAGGCCAGTTGCGACACTTGAAGCCAATGCCAAGGCCAAGGCTGAGGTTGAGACACTCCAGTGTCAGGGAGGGAGGGGGGCAGCAGCTTTCTGTGGCTTTTCTGTCTGAAACCCTGGGTTCGATTGCCGGTTCACCTCGCCATAACCTTCACAGGACACGTCACCTCGCCCTGGTAAATTCCACCTTTCCCCTTACTTTACCGTCGCCTAGAGCTCAGAGCTAGACTCGGTGACCAAGAACTGTCGTCGCCTGTGGGTCACAGCGGAGCGGTTACGTCACTGCATGCACAATGAAACAACAATTTTTTTTGTCTCCTGCTCATCTGATGTTGGGCGACGAATGTGGCCCTTGGCTGCGGGAACAGGTCTCGGGACTTGAAGGTTGTGTCAGTTTTCATTGCGTCATCGAGGCACCCTGCGTGCAAGAGCGACGCAAGAATTTGTGTAAGCTCTGATTGATAATACGGCGGTTTCCTTTGAAGAAACGTGGATATTTGTGGTTGATCTTGGGTGTTTCCGGCTGCACGGTTTTAAAAGTGCCCGGCAATTTCTTGTTGCGCATTTTACCGGCGCTTAGACCATCAAGTGTTTGTTTGGAGGGCAAAGTCAAACTAGTGACGAACCTGCCGGCCGACAGGTTCGTCGAGACTGACCCAAGAAGTGTCTTGGAACAAGGATGCGCAGCAGAGCGCGGTCGGGATTCGAACTGGGTACTTTTCCAGTCAGTCGAACACACATGACGACGGTTACAAGACGGGGAGGCAGTAGTGAAGTGCGTGGCTCCCGGTCTGTACCTCTTCGCCTTGATTCCGCAATCACAGAGTCGTCGTCGTCGTCATTGACGCGAAGCAGTCTTCGGTGTCAGCGTCACTGTTAACAGCAGACTGCTGTTCCATTCAAAGCTGGCAAGCGGTTCGTGTGACTTTCTTCGACGCAAGATCTCCAGAACTCTGTGTTGCGTAGGAAGGACTGACTTGTCGTCAGAAAGCGAATTAAAATTTGATTTTATAAAATTTGCAGTCTTCGCGACCATTTTCGGTGCGTATGAAGAAGCGGTTGACAATTAATGATACGCCGACTTCTGGTACGTGGAGATGTAGGCCCTCCTTTTTCGGCGATGTACAGGTTAGGTTAGGTTGAAGAGCATCACGAGTAGACAGTTTGCGCGTCAGCACTTCGTGGTCCTCTTACACGCTGTTCACTCTCTGTGGCGTGCCACAGCGGCGACCTTAATACATGAATTACGTTCGACCTTGGCTGTTCTCAAAGCTTTAGGACGTGAAAGTGGAACTTTTTAATAGCCGTCAAATGGATGGCTGTCTCCTGTGCTTTGTCGTAACGAAGAACGTGACAGCTCATCTCGCCGTGCGTTACGCGCCACGCACTTCCACTCTGACTTTTAATGTCTGGCGTTTGTTTAGTGTCAGAATGATTCAGCTCATTACATTTGCGCTTAAAGACGCAGTAGGTCTTTTTTGTGTGCAAATGTCGTTTTTCCTTTTGGTTCTGTGTGCATTTCTCACCGCCTATGCTCCAACAGGAGCACGAGTTACGAACCTTCTCATCTTGCACTCGCTTGGTGTCGGAAATTACGCGATGGCGATGGCGAGACACCAAAAGACGCGTGCGTGCGTGCAGCAGCAGCAACAAGACGAGGTCCGGCGAGGCGATGCTGGTGGACCTTCGCCGCAGTTAGAACTGGATCCACCGATTATGGCCGCTGACCTCGTAGGGAGTGCCCAGTATGGGGACCACTCGATGAGGGAAGGACTTTCCGTCGGTCAGTGCAGCGGTGTAGAAGCCTGGTAACTGCTGTCTTGTGACTGAGCAGTGTTAAGAACATGCCACCTGTTCGTTGCGACCACCTTTCTGACCACCGATAACGCCTCGTATCACAAACTCAGACAGACAAACCACCGAGGTCTTAATCAAAGAAGGACGAAATGAAACCCTGGCTATTGGAAGTAAACATCCCATTTTGTGACAACGATTTAATAAAATTAAATAAGTCAAAGCACGAATATTACGTGATTGGGCAATAAGTCACGTTTCGGCACGCATACGTTATGTTACGGATGAAGTTACGTCAGGTTAGGTTAGTTCCTTAGATTAACGTTTGAAAATATTCGCCACATCTCGTCACGCCGTTACAGTACGTTACGCGTAGTCACGCTTTTAAAAACTTGGTGATGTTCTAACACTTGAGGTGTCCTCTCGTCACGCTTTCAAAGGAGGTCACGCCTATTTAAACTTGGAATTGGAAGAATTGCGAAGAAGATAAAATCACCTAATACTCTCTGCAGTGTTAATTTTCTAGTGATGTGTAGCGTAGTGAAATCGACATTCCTGTGTTACGTACCGTGCTGATATTTTATTTGGAGTGTACTGTACGCGGCCTGCTGCCATCCCTTCCAGCAACCTTCTGGTAAGTGTCTCGCTCCGAGGTTCCAATTCACAAAGTTCAGCGGCCAAAAACGCTGGAACGCAGTATAACTGTCGCGCTGTTCGTAAATTGGCCTTGTCGTTGAAGGCGGTCAGCGGCTTCAATGTCCTTGCCTGACATTCAGTTCACCGTCGCAGTTCTTGTCACTGTTTCGCCATCCGCGTGTCTTTGGCGAGGCTACTCCCCCAGTTTCGCAATAGGCTCTATTACGTCTCGCGACCGGAGTTTCTTTTTAGATCTGCGAAGTGCAGGCAGAACTGGACGACATTAGCCACAGGACGGAACAATTGGCCCAGTGCCCACTAAGAAGATGCAAGTATAATAATATCGGAATGTTGTTCTGAACTGTTGTTCTGTTTCGCGTGTGTTACAGGAGGCATGGCGCTGTACAACAACTCTGTCACCGCCTTCTACGACTTCCTGTTCACCGATCTGGCAGGTAAGTGTTCGTTTCTTGCGAAGCCAAAAACGATTGCCTTCGCCCATGATGAAAGCGAGACAGTTGCTTCACTCAGTAGACTCAACACGCAAGTCTTTTCGGAGCTAAAATTAATTTACTCTGGAATATAAGTCAAGGAAGCTGTTATTTCAAAAACGCAAGTGCGTGCGCTTCATTCAGAAGATCGTGAAATTCAATCTGTGTAACATTAATTCAGTATTTTTAAACGTCAGTCCTCATGAGCGGCGGCGGTAGGACGTAGTGATGCAGCCCGGAGTACTTCAGGGAGCGGCGTTGTCCTATGCAGGATTTAAGTCCTCTGGCCTTCGCATTTGCTGACCTCCAAGACTTTCGTCAGCTTCAAGGCCTGTCAGTGCACAGATCTTCAGGGCCATGCGTGAGAAGACTCGATGAGCTGCGCGCGTACACCTTGGAAGAACAGATTCTGCGAAAGAAGGCGACGGCGTGCGACCTTCCGGCACTGGGTGACGCTCCTGCTGCGTTCTTTGCGCCGCCGTCGCCTACAAGTGGCTGCCTCGTGCGCCTGCAGCAGATCAACAACCACTGTGCCGATCACCCACCCAGGGCCCGACTTCTCACAGCACTGTGGGGCGAGGGGGAGAGGCGTGGATGACCAGCTCATGATTTAAAGATTACATGTATAAAGATGTAGGACTACAAAATGTTAAAGCCCTTCTGACTGGCTCCGGAGCTCAGCGATGCGGTTTCTTACAACCCCAAGTCTTCTCTTGGCTTAGAATGCACGCAGGTAGAGCAAGAGGGGACGGGCAAGGCCTGGGAAGGAGTTGTGACTTACGCGATGAAGAATGCAGCTTCCGCTAAATGTTTGTGACCGGGTTGCACAATTGCAGTTGGCCTGCAGATTCCGACTGCGTTCGGTTCGTCGCATGTTCGAGTGGCCCAAAGACATAATGCACTTCGGTTCACTGCTCGACGAAACGTCCTCACACGCTAGCACCGTCACACCGAAGCTTTTTCCCAGTTTCTTTACGCCGTGATGAAAGGAGAATCTGTGAGGACGAGGGCAGTCCCATGACACTTGAGGGTCGTAACTTTCTCGTTTGATTCAGTTTGAGTGAAAGTGTTTCTGGTCAATGGAGATAAGCTGAGTCGTAGATGACCGTGTCTGATACACTTTCCCTGTCGCTCGATATCCCGAATGGGTTTGCGTTGTAACCACACACAAAGGGTTCTTTGGAGCCGTGGCCAAGCAGCGGGCAGTGAAAGTGTCCATTGTCTTTCAGCTGATCTGTCCCTTCTAGCTCGTCTAAACAATATTTAAGAATTCAGTCCGTACCGCGAAGAAAACGCAACTCTTCACCATTACAAAGATCAACGCTGTTTCTTTCCGAGAATCATACGAAACCCATAAATTACGAAATGTAGAGTTACTGATTATCGGAGCAGGTGGTACATATAGTTACCACTGGGTTGGAAATTGACGAGTCCCTCACCACTGAAGTGGAACGCGATCCCATTCAACATACACGAACAGTAAATCGCCTACTTCCGCTTTGCCATCAGTGTCTGCCTTTGAAGTGACTATTAGATTTGCTCTCGTATCAGGAAGTTCCGTGCTGCGCGGGGACATTGAGGAGACGTCTGGATTCTGCATTGCGATGTGTTGGGTCATGTCATGTGCATGCAGTCACTTCGTGATGAGACTTCGGTAGATGGATTTTCGTCCAAATCAGCGTCGCATCTGTGTGTAGTTTTGGAGATGAAGGCGTACATGAGCACGACCACGACCGTTGCCACAGCTGCAGGATTTGTCTTTGCGTGTATTCTCTCTGAAGATCGAGCGGATGTTGATGACAGATGATGGGAAAATAACGATCAGTTTCCCAGTCGTGATAACTTGCCATCCGGGAAACTTTGTGGAGGGAGCGATAAAAACCTTGAACCCGCCCCCAGTCGAGGTAGCCGCTTCGTTCCGATTGCGAAACCATCTCAGTCTGAGCTCGCCAACCTCGGATGGCAATCGCAAGAAATTTTCAAGGAGCGGGTAATGAAACTCAGTGCGTCTGCAGTGACGTAACTGTGAGTGAGTAGGCCAATGCTCTGACGAGCCTGGCGGACGAGAGAGGCTCGGCGCTTTCCTCACGAACGTCCCAGCGAAATGCACAGAATACGATTTCAGACATGAAGAAGGCTGTCTGCTGGGACGTTGCGCTGTGCCGTGTGATAGGATCAGACCTACGTTTCAGGTACGCTTCAGTCATCAGGGCTATGGCGGCGGAGGCAGTAAGGACCTCTCGAGTGTCGGCGAGCTTCTCTCCTACCACCAGACATCGTCACGCTCGTCGCCGTCAAAGCCTGCGACACGCGCCCCTCCGGTTTAACACGCGTGCGCCATTGCACGTGAAGAGATTCTTGCGCCGTGACGATATTTAAATGCGAAGTCCATCGGACTTAAATCCTGCACAGGAACACGCTGAGCAGTCCTCTGGTGACCATATCCTGTCGCCACTCACGAGAAGTGACGTTCAGATTCCGGGTTAATTAATGTTGCAGTATATCTGCGACCGCATGTTGTAATCCCCCCTTGTTCGCACTGCGCAGACCCCCGTACCAACGAGTGGTTCCTCATCAGGAGCCCGATGCCCGGCCTGACCATCTTGGGCGCGTACCTCTACTTCGTCCTGTCCTGGGGGCCTCGCTACATGCGACACAGGAAGCCGTTCGACCTCACCAACTTGCTCGTCGTGTACAACATGGCGCAGGTCTTCGTCAGCGTCTTCCTCTTCTGCGAGGTGAGCTCAGCAGGTCTTCATTTCGTGCTCTAGGAATTGGACCATGGCCCAATTTGCCTGGAGGGAGTGAGGAGACCCACGGAAACCCCCTTCAGGATAGCCGGTCTCCGAGGCATTGCCTGTCTAGTCTACCAGGTCCTCCACGTGAAGTTAGTAGTTGGCGAACTGGAATTCCCCTTCTTTGGGAACACAGAGATTCATCAGTCACTGTTGACTTGCGGCTGCACTCACTAGGATTGGGTCTCCGGTGACCGATTGGCAAATGTCGGAACTGTATTTAAAAACAGGCAGTGACTTCGGTGTCCAACATGTTTCGTCACGTGACAATGTAACCTCGGCAACTGGCACAGCGTGTTTAAACGAGCAAAGCCATAGTCGCACCTTCCATCCGCCTTTAACCCTTTGAAGCCGAAGCTCGTCTAAATAGCATTTAAGAATTCAGTCCGTACTGCAAAGAAAACACGACACTTCACCGTTGCAACGTTCAGTGAGAATCGTATGACATCCGTAAATACTGACTTTTAATTAGGGTGGTACATATAATTACCGTTGTTTTTTCTTCTCTTTCTAAGGGATTAGACGCTTGTTGGCTGAGGAAGTACAGCTGGCGGTGTGAACCAGTGGACTTCTCTGACACACCAGAAGCAATGCGGGTAAATACAAGAAGTAACAAAGCAGATGCAAGCCACAGCTTGAGGCCTCACGTTATGAGGGCTTAAAAATAAACACAATATTTTTACTCCGCTCATATTAAGCCCTTAAAACGTCTGAAGATGGCTGGCTGTCTTCTGGGTTGTTGCACCGTGTAGTCTGGTGGAAGTTTACGGACGTTTCAGTAATTGTCTTACCACTGCGAGGAAATTTGACTAATGCTTACATTTTTTTATCAATCTTTCTTTCCTGAAAACTTAACATCGGCATGATTGTTAGACAGGTGTTGTTGGATATCCTTTAATACAATAACATTCGTCTTTACAGTATCATCAGCAGTGACTAATTTTAAAGATATTTGCCACGATGTATGTATGTCAGTACAAATTTGTGCGAGTATTCATATGATTATTATGTAAATAGAACTTTCATAATTATGAAAACCCAGACAAAACACTGGCACTGTCATTAGTGACAATTTTCAATGCGATGAAACCCTGTAACTCAGAGGTGCCACTGTTAGACTTAACTGCGGTCAATAATGTTGTATAACATGGTACATTAGAAGTGAGCTTGTTTCAGGTGGCACGAGGTGTGTACATTTATTTCCTGGCCAAGATGTCGGAGCTCCTGGACACAGTAAGTGAATTGTTTCGTGGGCAGATGCACCAGTCCACCAAACCTTCATATTGGCGTTTTGTCCGTGTGCCTTCAAGGCTCGAGAAAACATTAATTTGAGCATTCACACAGGGCAAAATCACTTGAAACTCTGGCAAAGCTAAAATATTTGGAAATGGCAGCCACACTTCAAAATTGCAATGAAGAATTAAGAACAGATCAAAGCCATTAAATCCTTGCAACAATTCGGTTAAAAATCTCTCTGTGAGATTTTCCTTTCTCACAGTTGTGAGTCTGAAGATGACTGTCTTTTGGGTTCTGGTGCTTGCTGCTTCCATCATCGGGGTGATATTGACCCACCTTTGTACTTTTTAATTCTTTGCCACGAGTAAAATCGAAACACGCTTCAAGGAAGCTGAAGTGTAAGTGACGCCAGTGCCATTTGGCTTGAGAAAAGCTTAAACTGTGGCGCAGTAATGGATTTTTAAAAAGTACGCATCTCTTTCTGTAGATAATCAATCATCAACTTGGTGACAACTGACAAGCCACTGGTGCTAGGCTTGTGAAATTTTATGAACGCAGATGAAACCGCAGATTCCGTACAAAATGTTGTTTATGAGTCGGCAATTACATCCTGACATTTGAAGTTTTGTGTAACAATTTTAATTTAATCAGTATCATTAATAATAGAAATGAATTTGTTATTAAATTACACTTTCAGTGAGTCTCACCAACTGAAGGAACACATGAATAAAATAACTTGTTTGTGCGCAGGTGTTCTTTGTCTTACGGAAGAAAGACAAGCAGATCACGTTCCTGCACATGTATCACCACACAGCAATGCCGATGGTCTCGTGGGGATGCACCAAGTACTATCCTGGGGGGCACGGTACCTTGATCGGAGTCATCAACTCATTTGTTCACATCATCATGTACTTCTATTACATGATGTCTGCCATGGGACCGCAGTACCACAAGTACCTGTGGTGGAAGAAATACATCACAACCCTGCAAATGGTGCGACACTGCGCAGTCTATTTCTCTCGCTTTGTGCGTCATAATTATGTCACAATCAGCACCGTAATTGAGGTAGCATTCTTGGCTTTATGTAACAACTCTGTTAAAGCAGAACAGACAAATGGGATTTTGAAGATTATTGGAGAAGAGAGTTCAGAAAATTGGGCATACATCACGGCCTTAGAATAGCTACGCGTTGTCATTGTAACCCCAAAGAAACATTATTTATCTGTGTTTAAATACAAGGGATGCACAGTTACTAACAGATAACAGAGGCTGTAGGTAGGGGGGGTGAAGACATGATGTCAGTACGACACCAAGTGAAAAATTAAGTGTTAAAATAATATTTTTTTCTGGTGTCAAAAATGGATGCTGTCAACTGCTGGGGCTCTCGGAATACGATTCAGGAATCGGAGCCAAGATGTAGTTGAGGTGCCAAGTAGTAGAAATAGAGTTTATGAAATGAACAAGAGATGGGGAAAACCCTGCCTTTTAGTCAAGATGGCGCTCGCTGGTACTAAAGTGAACACTGATTTTCTTTATGTTGCAGGGTCAGTTCTGCCTTACCTTCCTGCATTCATTGCAGCTGCTTTTCCACGACTGTGGGTATCCACGCTGGTCACTTTTCTTGACTTTGCCCAATGCCATTTTTTTCTACTACCTCTTCAATGATTTCTATTGCAAGGCGTACAACATTGCCAAGAAGAAAGACGCGAAGCAGTTGTGATAAGGTGTGTCATCTTTTGATGTGTGCTCTTCAAAGGAATAGTAGAAGTGTTCGTGGCAGGATGTCTCCCCCTTTAAAGCCTTGACATGCTTCCTGGAAATTTAATTACTCCCAAATATCACCAATACGTTTAATTATATCCTTTACTCATGTCCTTTCACAGAAAAATGTATCTTACAAAATTAACACTGGGCTGATATTGTATCAGAATTGTAATCTTGTATTTTGTAAGTGATGGTGCCCCATTTTTTTTTAATCTGTAAATGCAGTATGACAGAAAAATGAAAACAACAAAACATATTTCAGGCAGTTCTGTAAAGGAGAACTATTGTGGTCAGAAGGAGATTGTTACATGTTTAATCTGCATTACTTCATTTGTCTGTCAAAATAACAACAATTTATTTTTACGTAAATACGTCTATGAGGAAGGGTCATTCGGCAAAAAAGTGTTACGAAAAAGGGAAACGAAAAAGTGTAACTTCATTGTTATGCTACCTAGGAAACCTCACCTGTTTACTCGGCATTGTTGTTACATAGGAAACGTTACAGTACATTCATCTACCACAGACCCATCTTAAGGGTAACTAATTCAAGTTGATTAAGCAAAGTCTTAATCAAACTTTACTCAATTGTAAATCGGGTATAAAGGAAATATTTAGAATAAAGCCAATATATAAACTTCCTTTCCGTATAGACGTATTTACGTCAGATTCTCCGGAACCGTGGTTCCACTGTCACTTTTTCATCAACAATATAGTTTTTGCAAAGTTGGTTCACATGAGGTATTTGCCCATGATCTTTGTGGTTCGGGTACCAAAATCTGGAACGGTGATGACCAGTAATGACATATGTTGCAAATATTGCATTACTTTAAAAATACTTCTGATCATCTGCCAAGAATGTATATATGTTGAGCAGGTCCCTGACAACCTGAAGAGGATGGAAGGCTCCTGTTCATAATATATGAACCTGTCATCAGACAGAACACTACAAATAAAAAAAAAAATTAAAAATAATACTTCAAAGCAAAATTATATTTTTCAGTTTACTAATAATTTGGGCTAGTTCTTTGTAGAAATTGTTTCTTTAAACCTGCAGTTCACTTACAGTTTTGGTAGTTTACATGTCCTTTTTCTTTTTCAGATGGCTTCTTTGTAAAAGAGGAATTATATTTGGACTTGTTGGAAATATCAAATGTTCCAGGAAATGGCTGTCTTCTGGGTTGTAGCACCGTGCAGTCTCATTAGCCTGATGATGGATGCAGCAAGCACTTTTGAAACGGTGGTAAACTTCTACCAGTGTACACGGTGTAACAACCTAGAAGACGGTCATCTTCATACTCGCCACCGTGAAAACCTCAACTCCTACATCAGATGTTCCAAATAAAGTCTCATGTAATCATTGCCAGAAACAAGTTAGTGTCGTGGGTGGATGTATGGAAAATCTGACCAGACATTTAAAAATGAAGCATCCATCTGTGCTCAGGACTAGATCATCTTCACATCCTGTTGAGGAATACTTCTGTTTCTGTGCCATCTCTCTCAGACACAAATAACAGTTTGTTGTAATCAGTGAAAACAATTCTGTCATATCCATGAATACAGCGAAGCAACTCAACATACGACTTGCAAAAATTATTCTTAAGGAATATATTCTCATCAGTAGAGTGCAGTATTTCTGCAAAACCACGGCGTTCCAACAGTGAGACAAAAGGATTCTCAACTGGAAAAAAGCTCTGGCAATGCCTGCTAATTTCTTGGGGCAGGCAGCCTAAATCAGGAACGTCCGAGTATGCCGAAACATGCGTGAGCTTGCACACGTGAACCCACAGTTATACCACAACAGAAACAAAATGAAGAAACAGGCTCAGTGCCACCGGCTACCCAGCATCACTCATAATATTAGAGATATCTTAAGAAAAGCAGCAGGCAGTCTTTAAAAAGGTAAAATGAAAAATGCATTTCAAATAACTAACTTTAATTGCTTCTTACTTTCAAATACGTTTTGATATTTTTGAACACATTTATAGGAAAAATTAATTGTACAAAACTGACATGCTCTATTTCTAACTTTTCAATACCATAAGAATCCTTTTAACCTTTTCCATCTATTTATTTTTACAAGTAGTTTTGTGTAAGGCTCATGTCCCATGAGGTAGAGCGTAGGAGCAGAAAGGATTAAGGGCTCCAGTGATGCTCCAAGAACCCAAAAGGTTTTGTCATTCAAATAGTTTGGGAAAGTAGACTGTAGTGGAAGATAGTTTCATGCATTAATCACTGTTATCTCTCCACCATGCAGCAGTTCTAGTGTACTTGGCCTTCAGAAAACTACAGTAGTCTCAGTAAAAAATATGAAGAACATTCCATCAGCTCGCATAACAACTGACAGTTGAACTTCAGTTAATAATGACCACTTTGCTTCAGTCGCAGCTCATTATATTAACAAAAACTTCGTGGTGAGTTCTACTTTTCTTGGCTGCATTAATTTTTGAGATAAGCAGAATGCCAAAAGTGTATCTGCTCAGAAATTCTGATTCCCTAATGTGGTGGAGGAAAAGACAAAAAATTGTACCCAAGACTCATTGAGCTTGTAAAGAAACATTTGTGCATCATTCAACATTCATGCTTTATGAATAAATTTTTCAAATGCAGGATAAATTCTTACTGACAAACTGAGGAGATTAATGTAATAAAAGTTGTTACAAATCTTATTTTTAAAATACAATACAGTGTAGAAAATGACTTTATTTTAAAGTAATTTTTGTAATTTCACTGTTACATTATTGAAATGTATTATAATTTTACTGAATTTGTAATATTATTGTCACAACTATTTATCTATGACAATTTAGAATATCTATTTGCTGCAACTATTTTTAATTATTTTATTGTATTAGTATTCAGATATATTTAAGATGATCTATTAACCTACAGTAAACAAATAAAATACTTGTATTTTTCTAATCTTGTAAAATAAATAAGTCATGACAAATTAAATGTACTTCATTCTCAGTTTTTAATGTTTTTGCTTTGTGACTATTTTTTCTTTACTTTGTCTTAACTCGTCATATTCTTTGCCTCCATAACAGAATTTACTTGAGAAATTGCAGTGGTGGAGACAGTTTTAGATGAAATGCTGATTGTTCATGTCCTAAAGACTTTGGCGAATTAGTTGGCCCAGATTGAACTGACGTTGCGCGAAAGGCTTAAGTATGTATGTCTGAGGAAAGGTTGTCAGTCATTTCCTTCGTCTGCCATAAAATTAATGGATCTTTGAGACCCAGTGACAATGACGATTCAATCCAAATGAACTGGGTCATACAGTGATGTGTAGTGCCCACTTATATCTTCAGAAAGTGTTCACTTGGTGAAGACCAAGAAGGAGATGGGAGGATAATATTTAAATACACCTTACAGGTATATGTTGTGAGAATGTGAAGTGAATTATGTTGATTTGGATTATATTCAACGGAAGGCTTATGGTACAGTGAAAATAATAGTGCCAACTCAGAGTTAGGTAACTGAGAAAGTGCAGAGAAATTAATGTAATGTTTCAGATTGAAGTCTAGCCAGTGTTGTTCACTCAGCGTGGTGACATGTGATAGGCCAGTTTCTTCCAGACCCTGGTTTTCATACCTCAAGACTGCTGTGGACATGAAACTCTTTGTAATGATTCCTTAAGCCCAACTTTAACAACAGCTTGGATGGCATGAAATAGTTGTGATTCGTTGGAAATGAGGGGGGTGGGGTTAGTTATGAAAGAAAGGTTTTAAATGCAGAATTTGTTAATTTGACTTTTGAAACTTTCCCAAGTGAAACTGCAGATTTGCTACTCAATGCAACTGGGTAGAATTTTATCCCCTATACTACACATAGACACTAGCATTATTCACAAATCCCACTGAGTGGTGCAGTGTCTTAACATATACTCATTCCTTACATCCACTTTCCTTGCATCACATGCAGACGACGAGGTATGTACTTATAATGTACTCAGTAGATAAACTATAGAAAGCATGTATTTTACATAACACTACAAATCAGTTTGAAGGGAAAATGTGTCTATTAAAGTCTGTAATTATGACATTAAAAGGATGAGTTCCAACTAGAAGCAAAATTTTAATACATAATTCTATAGTGGAACAAATAGATTTTTTTGAAAGTAGGAAAGGGATATGTAATAAAAATAAGTACTTTCTTTTTAGCATATTTTGAGAAGTCTAAATAATGTTATGAAACCAACTTTAGTCTAGACAGGCTTGACTGAAATAATGTAAGATTTTTAACCATCCCACTGTTCAAATCTCTAACCACATAAGTTATTCTGTCTGACATTTTCGTGGTTTTCCTAATTCTAACCTTAAACACGTTCACGGGTGTTAATAGTCAGCAGTTGAAAGAGACATTAAATAAACCGAATGGTTCTGCGTGTTAATTTAATACAGGAGAGACCTGAACAGACTTATAGAATTTTCAGTTCATGTACAACTTAAGTAAACTTAAGAACGAATAGAACGGTGTGTTACACAAACAATGCAAAAATCAGAGTACATTCTTACAGGGAACTGTGTTTTGTAATTGCTTGACGAAATGTTCTCTCGTTTCATCAAGGTTAGGTCACCATTCAAAGCGTGTTAAGACAATGGCAGATACATTGATCAGTTGGCAATGATTTCAATTTGAAACGAATGTGGTTAGCAGTTGCATATAAAATAATTCATTTCAATTTTCCATAATATGTTTTAGTCTTAAATTTTAGTTACATATATTATAATTAATAAATTTATGATTTAAATATACTGCGGATCCTACAGGCATGAAGCTAAAACTAGAAACCACAACTTATGATTACAAGCCAGTCCCATATTTGCCAGCCAGTTGTCATCTGTTCTGATAGCCACCGTTTCTTACCTATCTGTAATTGGTAGCATTGGAAATCCATGGTTGTGTTATGAGGTGGTTTGTGTAGTGTGCTCGAAATGTTATAACGTACAAATTCGTGTGTAGATTATAATGGAAGAAGAAGATGACCCGGTTATACAGGAGGTATGAAAAATATATTATGAGTGTTGTTCTGAAAATGTTTTATATTGTGCTTAATGCGAAGATTAATTCTTGCACAACGTGCAGTAGTTTGGTTATATGACATGAAATAATATACTGGCTCTTGTCGACAGGTCCCGGTATTCTTGTCCAAATTGTTGGCAGAGAAGTTGTTCCTTTACAAGTTTCCTGTGCGACCACGGGACGTTAGCTATGATGACTCCAAAGTTCTACAGGTATTGTCAAGATAAAATGAAAACCATAATGTTATATTAATTACTGTGTATGAAGCTTATCACCCCAGAAGTAAGTAATGAACATTAAAGGAAAGTGAGCACTGTATTTGCACAGAAACTTTTAGAATAATTTGAACATGAATATACTGGTAGATGTGTTTCTAATCTTTTCTGTTATTCGTCATCAAATAGTAAGTTGTGTTCAGCTTAAAATTCATAGTGCTCCAGTGTAACAGTCATATTTATTACAGTTAATTAATTGAATAAAATTTATTCACCATTCACTCACCTGACACGGCTTGTAACCCGAGAGTCTTTCATCAACTTCAGTCGCTGCAAAAGCTTCACTTTAAATAATTAATTGAAGTTTCATACTTCAGTGTTAAACTAATGCCGACATATGTTTGATCAATGTTTGAACAGGCCAGGAATTAATCGACTGATCATTTAACAACTTCTATGTTCAAAGCAGAATTAATCTTGTCTGCTGTTTTGACAGCGAATGTAGATCCTATACTTTATACAAATATAATATAAAGAAGATGTATGAAATCCTGGCCAGGAGAGAATCTTTCAATATAAATAATGACACCAATTTTTAGTAGTTAAGTAATATGCAAGTGGTGGTACCAGAAATTTCTATGTTCATTTTTATGTAGTTTTGTGTTATTTCTGTACTTCTGTTTAGGAGGTCTAGCCTAACGGGGCAGCAGAAACTGGAGCGTCTGCTTGTGAGCGAATAAGGGCTAATGACTTCTGTTGTTGAGAAGGAAGAGTTTCTCAAGTGTTTTCTTGCATTGTGCTCCAGTTGCAGTGTTAACTTCCTTTTGTCAGATTTTGTTAAAACGTTCATTACATTGTTATTTGTCATGACAGAGATGCTGCATTTTTGAACCTTAATGTTTTACACATGTCAGAGAAATCTTACGTTTTGACAAAGCTTATAAGGTCAATCTTCATGGTCCTTTGAGGATTTAGACCAATGAAGAACTTCATGACATGTTTATTTGAGTTTGGTTAATACTTTAGCAACCAATCAGGAGCAGGGGAAATTAGCAGGCATTCACTTGTTATAGCGGGTGGAGGGTTTGTAGATATAATCATGGAGCCTCAACACACTTGATCTTTGGATTCTGAAAACAGCAGATGCTAATGAGCACATCGCCTCATTTTGGAAAGTATTAGATATTCAGTAACTGCAGCAACAATAACTCAGTTTTTGCACAGTTGTCTATTCAGTGTGAAGTGAATAATTGAAGTGACATTGCCATCTATCAAGGGCCCTTTGTATGAGTGGACTGAACGTTTTTAGTAGCATGTAGAGGGTCGAGTAAAATGTGGCAGGGGGCAATGATATTAGTACCACTTGATGGCCCCATCATGGCCTCACCACGTAGTGTGACGTGCTTCAATGCAGTGATGTTACTGTCTCGAGAATGAAGCAGCCGTTCTCTAAAAACGTGCTCAAGGATTTTTTGTGTTGTTTCCAGAGCTGTATCAAGCCACAGCATCAGGAGGTCAGGCTGGAACTGGAGCTGGACATGCAGAGCCCTAATTATGACTCGAGCAAAGGCGAACAGATAGCGTGGAATGTGGATGGTGTTACTAACAGCAAGGTAGAGAGGAAGACTGAAGACAAATTCTTTAAGAAGTTAGTACTGTTATCATCTTTCATTGCCATTTCCACTAGGCTGGGTAATTTTGCTTGACAAAACTCTCTGTCATCCTTGTGTATCTTGTGTTATCTCTCCCTACTCTTTTGTGTATCTGACCTCACTGGGTCAGTCCAACTAATCTGTTTTTTATTGGTAATTTATTTATTTAATACCTTCATTTCTGTACTGTCAGGTCATCAGCATTCGTATCTCAGTGTTAATTTAAATGTTTGCAGAACAGACTCCCCCTTCTACAAAATTTATTTTCTTGATATCAAATAGGACATAAGATATTTATGTCATGTGTACATCAGATGTGGGCCACTGTCATATGTTAGGAACGTGAAATAAGTAAAAATGGTAACATTCAAAATGAACTCTAGATAATTTTGAGCTCATTAAAGTTAGGGATCTTGATATACATGCGTGTGTAATGCAAAGGCCAAGGATGTATTATAATTATTTGCCTTTCTTGCACAGAAACAGCTTTTCCTTTAGATGCAGAGATATGTTTCATCCAAGAAAATAAAACTTTAAAGCGTTTCTTGATTATTATAATAATGTTCAGTGTTAGCACTAACTGTGAGAAGGCAAGTACTTTTCTCTTTGTCGAAGCCAGCCCTGTGGTTCACCCAGCTCACCTAGGGTAGAGTTAAAGTGGACACAATGTGAAGTCATTCAGTCATCTCCATATGTTGTGAATGCATGGAACTTTATGGAATTAACTTAATTCCATGGGGTTTGGGCATAGGAACTCTTAGCTGTTGCTTCATTTTTTGGCAGTGACATTATGGATAAGCAGATACTGCAGTCTACACGTGCGGTGTCTGACACGAGCAACTATGCTGTAGCTGTGTACCATGACGGTGAACTTCACATTACCCCGTTGCAAGGCGTTGTAGACCTCCGCCCTTCCTTTGCGTACTTGGATAAGTCGGACAAGCTTGCCAGAGAAGAGGCGAAGGAACGAGGAGAAAGTAAGTGACCCAGAAACTGTGTTGCTGACAGTCACGTAAAAATTGCAGCTAAATAAAGCAAAGCAGGTTGTCACTGTGGCTACAAGGAGAGAAACTACATTTCCTGCTCATGCATTTGGGTGGTTTGTTTGCCCATTAGCTGTGGAAGTGAGATTAAGAGTTCTTTATCTGCTGTGGTGTATGCCATCAAAATAGGCTTGAGGCATCTGTAATTGTGCAATTGAGGCACGATAGTTCTGTCACTGTCACAACTCTGAGGTAAATGACGTTAACAGTCAGGGAAGCTTAAGATATTACCAGAGAGGGAACAAATTTTCTCAACTTTTCCACTTAAATAGTACAATAACTGGCTGCAGGCTGGATGACTGCAGTGTGATTTTTCTCCTGACTACCACAATGACCAGACTGACTCTGGGCCCGCCCGGTCTCCTCTGCGGTGTGTACGAGGGGCTTTGTCTTGCGCCATGGTTAAGAATTTGTTGAGCTTTACCCTCCATTTTGCATGTGTGGCATGGAGCACTGCATAATTAAGCGCAGAGACAACTTACCTGTACTTACAGTATAAATACGGGAATAGAGATTTTGTTTGTTTGGTATTTTGGTAGATATTATTATTCCCGGGGGTAAAGCCGGCCGGGGCGTGATGCTGACCACTCACCCCGATCTAGTGCCGAGGTCAAGAATGAGTAGGAGCTATACCTCCACTCTCCCCAAGCGCCTACATGGCGTATAGTGGGACAGCTTTACTTTTTAATTATTACCACTCAAGAGTTGAACAGCAAGGAATGTGACATAAATTTTGTTTGTTTGTTTGTCAGCTGATTTGTCTGGCGAAGAGGATGAGGCCCAGCAGGTGACAGT